CATAGGTTTAAATGGCAGATCAATCGATATATCGCAAAGCACGCCACGCCACTGCCTGTGCCCCATAAGGAAAGTCTCTGAGGACAACGGGACCCTCAAATTCGGATTCATTGGGGTCGATTACCTATGAATACACCTTTTTTCCGAGTCTCCACGTCAATTTAACGAACTTGAATTTTTATGAAAGGGGGCTGTGTCCCCCACCTTTAGGGGTCGGTATTTTGAACACGGATGGGCCGATTTTGGATTTCTTGGTGTCGATTTAAGTTAAAAATTTGCGTACGTTCTGATTCCGATGAAAAAATTTCAAAATTTGGACATAAACTCTGACTTTTGAAGTACGGATCCCCCTTTTACCCCCGAAGGGACGCCAGGGGGGCTATGGGACCATGAAATCCGGATTCCTTGAGGTCGATTCCTTATTCATCCCCGCGATCCTGGACTTCGTGCGACCCAAATTAACCGAAAAAAAGGCCTGGTACGGTAGGTCTGGGCCACCCTGTATAGTTTGAAATAAAATTCGTGGATTTTGAATAGCCTTAATGACTTCTGAGAGTTTTTCCGATTATTGTTGACATTAGATGATGAGCGTAGGTTTCTTTCAATACAATTTTTCGCCCAGACGCTACTAATCGTAAGCCCATTTTCTCTACTTCACTATTCTATTTACGGCTATCTTCGGTAACATGGCGGTATAGTGAAAGCGTTATCATCGCGATCGTCGGTGCTAGGTAATTTTTCCTAAACTTTTTCCTACATCAGGTTTTCCTAATACTTTTTTCCTACTCGTTTTTTGTCCTATTACAGTAAGTCCTACGAGTGAGATGTCCCACTGGCTTTTTTCCGAAGGGTGTTTGTCCCAATAATTAAACAATAATTGAGACGTGAGCATGAGTAGAGCAGAGGGAAATGTTTTGGAGAATGTAAAATTTCTTTAGCAAGCCAAATATAAGTGCGTGAACAGAAGACAGCACAGTCTGAGCGTTCTATACCCTCAATACAAGGAAGAGGATGAAGCTCCACTACTTGCGGGCACGCGGCCACAACTGTAACTTGTGAGGTGCCTATGTTGTTTTTTTAAACCGAATATATGATAAACTGCCCTCGGAAAAAAGCCAGTAAGACATCTCACTAGTAGAACTAGCTAGGATGGGACAAAAAACGAGTAGGAAAAAAGTATTAGGAAAACTTGTAGTGGAAAACCATGTTTTAGAAAAAATGACTTGCCACCCGATCGTCGTATATACATCGGTTAGGTCTCATTCTGCTGAGCAACTAAACTAACACTGCGACGACGCGTGTAGCATCTCCCAGAAATGAAGGCGTTTTCTTCTCGCACGGCCGCGCAGTGTCATCTTTATGCTGTGTTTGGCGTTGCAGGACGAGTTACCCAAGAAGAGCAGTCGAGCAATGGTAGTGTCTCTGGTCATAGAATCGTGTTTTGATGTTTGATTCCTGTGAATCAAAGTACGCCCATTGACTTTCTGTCGAGTAAATGTATCCAACAACCAGAATTAAAATTAGTCATGACACTCTAACGTTTGCAAAACCTCACCTGTCCATTGAAATGGATGTTAAATCGTCAATGTACATCAAAGCTGGAAGTGATTATCTGAAATGAAATTTATCGTGGGTGGGGGAAATGTCGTAAATTGGCGAAAATTGCTCTCATTGTGAACGGAACTCTGGAAACTGTGATTAAGCTATATGTATTTGGGATCTTCCCGTAAGAACGCTTTGTATATGCTAATCTTGGGGTTTTACTTCCCACAAACCCGAAACTTCTGAAGCTCTTCGTGGGTTTAAGGGGAGACTTCAATCTCAGCGAAAATGAGTGTCGCGCTCTTCATTTATACATTCGAAGACTGAAATCGGCGTTGAGTCAGTTGAGAATTTCAGCCAGAGTAAAAGCATGAGTCGTTTCTTAAAGGGATAAGGCTCAATAATCATGATAAGCACATTTTCTAAGTCTGGATTCTACGTCTCACCTCACTATTTGCATCATAAATTATTGAGTCTCCCACTTAAAAAATTACAGGAGTGTAAGGACGTTATTTCTGTAGTATTCTTGACAGTTTTGGTCTGAAAAAAAAGTAGAAACTTTGATAAACTGTTAAGATCTTTATGTTAGCTAACGATTGTAGCTCTTTTTAGTAAACATCTTTAAAATTTGCGTTTAAAGGATAGAGTAAAGCATCAAAATGTTTCCGAAAAGTACATGAACGGAATTTTCCAAGAAGTGTTGACTGTTGTATTTAGATTTAAAAATGACTATAAAGAACTGTTAAAATCCACGAGTTAGTCAATCCCTTTCTCTTATTTTTCAAGCAAAATTCTTGTATTTACGTTAAAAAATGTTATGAAAAAAATTGGCATCAAAATTTTTGAGGTATGGCTATAAATACGGCACTTGTCACATAAGGACGGCCATTTTGACCGTCCGGGGTGACCCGTCCGTACCCAAATGCGCCTTTGCCATATCATACACGGAAAAAACAATTTAGTGCTGAGCCCTAACTGTTGAGATAAAATGGAGCCAGCTAATATGGCAGTAGTGCATTTGATCTGAACAATTAGGGCTAAGCACCAAGTTGTTTTTCCGAGATACTCAAAGCTCAAAAGTGCACGAATTTCTTACGCAAGCTGTGAGGTGAGTCTTAAGGTAAGTCGATGGACGCCATATTTTGTGTCAGAACGGCATGCGACGTATCGCATCAATTCGTTCCATTTTTTCAGCTACTCGTCATTTTTCTCCAATTTTGAGATCGCAATCCTGTTGTTAGGAGACTATAGCACTCACCAATTTTAACAAATAAATTCAACGTAATAAAGGCGTGGTTTTTTTAGAGAGAAAATATCGCATTCGATACTGATATCAAAACTGCACTCGAATGCGATATTTTCTCTCTAAAGAAACCACGCCTTTATTACGTTGAATTTATTTGTTAAAATTGGTGAGTGCTTTAGTCTCCTAACAACAGAATTGCGATATCAAAATTGGAGATAAATGACGAGTAGCTGATAAAATGGAACCAATTGATGCGATATATCGCATGCCGTTCTGCCACAAAATATGGTGTCCATCGAATCACCTCCAGTAGGCTTAGCGTGATTTTCGGGTCCCTTTCGTCTCCCAGAACAACCATTGCTTTTACTTCAGCTGAAATTTTTTTTTAAAATTCATCGCTCCAAGCGCAATCAAAGTCATAGGGCGTACACATGCGTATTACGTAGGCATAAAGTCTCCAAAACCGAGGACAGTAAAAAACACTGAAGCGGAAGGGTCGGACTGGGCACATGGATAATCACACGCCCATGGACCTCCGTTTAGTTTTTTCCTCATCCGGAAATTCATCCAGTTTTCCTTTCGCTCTTTTTCCACCAGTTGATGAGGAGCTGAACATTCACGGACAAAAGAAGTTTTTCGGTCTCTTTTGTGTACCGTGTAACCGTGTACGGAGAGAGGGTTTCGTGAATATAAAAATGTTTAACAGGTAGTTAAGCAACACGCATACACGCCTGTTAAAACTCGCATTTGCAGATATTGCTCTCATTAGTCGGGAGAATGAATGGACGCGTTTGTCTGGAAGTATGAAATAGGGAACAGATAGGTCAGGCATGTTTGTCTCGTGATTTTTATTTGACAATTAATGACTTTCCAATAACAGCCTGGATCTATTTAGATACTATATTTCTGTCGTATTTTGAGTACGTCATTTGTGTCGGAAATTTTCTTCGACCGGAAACAAGACGGAATCGTGATTTTTTAATCAAATCTTTTTGTACGCCAAAACAAAAAGAAACTTTGCGTTTTACTGGGGGAATTACCACAAGTACCCTTTAAATTCTTTCTGTAATATCATCGAGTCCCATATACTTTTTCGCTGTTTAATTTTCGATTTTTCCCAGCGAAATTGGTGGTCGGCTCGCTGGCGTGACTTTGAAGGTTCACTGCCCCGTCCGCGAACGGGATAGTATTTTCGGTCAGTTTTCAATGGAGAATTTGAACGCAAATTCTTTTATTGCTTCATCCGAGAGTTCCTAAAGAGCTGATTTTGCAGTATTTGTTATAATTTTTTTCTGACATGGGAAATAGTATAAAAATAGATTTAAAAGTGAGAAAATGTTTCGCCTAGTGATGACACTTGCCTGAAAAAAAAGTTTCGGGTTATATAGACATAACGTCCATTCCAGGCTCGGAGACCGAAACCCTCCGGGTGCTGGAGCCGTAACTTCGATTGCTCAGGGTGCTACGCCCGGAACTTTCGGGATCTAAGCCCGGAACGCGGACAGCATGTCTATTAGCCCGTAAGTACGGCTTCCATGGCCGGAGTTTATTTACAGTGCACGCAAACCTAATCAAGGTGTATAGCAGTAGGAAAATCCGGAAAATATCAGGAACTTTTGCCGATCGGGAAAGTCGGAAAAATCGGACGTTTTATCAGGAATTTTTCTTACGCGAATCTCCTCAGCGGAGAAAGTCTTACTGCTTTTTGCCTACCGTGCCAGGAGTCGAGAAAAATTAGGAAAATATCGGGAATTTTCAAAATGAAAAATTCAGGAATTGTTTATACTATATCAGGAACAATCAGGAATTTATCAGGATTTTTCAAAATTAAAAAATACTAGACACCCTGCTAATAGTTCGGCCGATACTGAATAATCGAAATTTCTCTCCCTGTGCGAATGTGGGAACACATCAACAGGAAAAATTCGGAGGGAAGAGGCGCGGCATTAAAAGAGAGAGGGAGGGGGAGGAAGTCCCCACAGGTTGACCAGAGGTGGAATAAAGCGGGAACGAAGTCCCGGGGAAGAGGGAGCGGAGGGTCCACTACTGAACTACTGAAGAATAAGGAGGGCGGCGCGACGGGCGACGCGCGCGTCCGGATCAGCTGTGCCAGGGACGGGGGCGGTCGGGGTCCGGCGCGGCGGACGCAGCCGCCCTGGCGTCGCGGCGCCGAAATGCACGTCGCGACGCCTCGAGTTCAGTCCGCGGGATGTACCCTTCGACGCTCCTCGCCGTCGCCGCGCGTCGCGCCCCTCGACGTCTCTCGTAACCGCTCCGAGACCCGATCCGGAAATCCCCGCTCCGGAAAGTCGGAAAGCTACGTGTCTCGTTCCTCCGGATCCGCAAGCTCCGGATTTACCCCCGAAAATTCCAGCACGAGCAACTTCTCATACGCCCCGGAGCGCGAGTTGCATAACCGGTGAAAATCAAGGCGTTTCGAGACAACCGGGAATTCTCGAGTGAACGGCGCCAGCTGCAATTCGAAGAGTGTAAATTGCCTAACTAACAAGAGTTAACGCAAATTAAAACAAAGAGAAAAGTACAATCCCATCGGTAATTTCTTAGTGAAGGGCACCAGCAGAATACCTAACGCCGCGGAGCGTAAATTGCATAACTGACGAATATTAAGGCGTTCAAATACAACGTGGGAAATCACGAGTGAATAGCACGAATAAAAATTCGAACGCCGTTGAGTGTAAATTGCATAACTGGCGAAAATTAAGGCGTTCGAGGCAATCTAATGTGTCCGGGAACTCCTCCGTGAGCCGAGCGAGGACAAATTCGGGCGACCTGGCGTGCAAATTGTATAACCGGTGGAATGTAGGCGTCTCGAGACTTTCGGATCGTCGCCTCGTTAAATCGAATCCCAACTCTCCGGGGATCCCGGTTGTGGGACATAAAACCGACACCTGCCTCTAGGACTGGAAGCGCACCTGTGACTCAGGAACTTTTTCACCCTTCGAGTTACCTCAATTCGGCGGAGGAACCGCGCGAGGGAAGCAATTGACTCCCTAATTCATCGATGCCGCGCTGAAACTGTAGAAAATCATAATCTCGAAATTGTGTTGTGTGCTTTGGTCCGTGAAACTTTAAAATAGGAGCAGTCTTGCGAGCGCGATGGATCAGTCAAATGAAGGCAGTCGGAGAGAAGACTCTTCTGAATTCGTGCGTTCCCGACACCTCAGCTTTCCTTCCTTTGAACCAAGTTACCGTGAAACTGGGGTTTTTCTGGCGGAAAATCGTATTCCGTGTGAGCGTCACGCTCGTTTGGTCTTTTAACCTCCCACACGAGTGAGAATTCAGTCCCAATTCGCACTATCGAAGCGGTTCTCTTTAATATTTCGAGCATCAGCAGTAAACCCGTTCCGTCAAATAAAGCAATGTAGGAATTTTAAGCAAGCTTTTGTCTTTAAAATTCGTAATTCCTAATATTTTCAACATATCATACTGACTAGAGAGCTTCTTGATTTCTTTTCCATTTTTTTTCAAAGAATAATTATCAGCAACAAACCGTTACAGTTATCTGATCCGAGAATAATTTTATTTTCAAACAGTTAATAAACCTATCCTCGCCAATTGTGAACCTACATCTCGCACTAGCGGAGCAAACAATGCGACGGAAAGAAATTGTAATACTTTTCGAGTGCAAACTTTTCTTAATTTCGAGCATCAAAGCGCGCGATTGCGCATGTAATAACGACATGGGACCTGTGAAATTGTGAAATTAAACTTATCTAACAGTCGTTCAGCGCTAGTGCCAAACCGAAGTTGTTTCCTGTGAAAGACTTGAGTTGCCCTGTGCTAGTCACCCTCGTAATGTTATACCCGACCGGTGCTCGCTAGACTATCGAAGAGAGGAGAACTCCGCAGGGAGGATGCCGCTGGGGGTCGGCAACCCGCAACACGGGTAGGTCGAGCGGGTAGTCGCAGAGAGCACCCGGGTGGTGGGCAACCCGCATAGCACGGAGGCTCACCTGTTGCTATGCCGGCGAACATGTCGACGACGACGACGACGGTCCGGTTCGCCCTGTGCTCGGTGAACTGTTCCTTCGAGCCGCTGGCTCTGATCGAGGGGCTGGACAACCTCTCGTGGGCGATCAACGCCTCGTTCAACGAGACCGGTTCCGACGGGAGGGACGAGCCCAAGAAGTTCTGGGCGCTTATTCTTATGTTGTTCCCCTTCATTACTCTCTTCGGCAACATGCTCGTCATCCTGAGCGTCTTCAGGGAGAGGACCCTGCAGACGGCCACCAACTACTTCATCGTCAGCCTCGCCGTGGCGGATCTTCTCGTTGCTGTTGGAGTTATGCCCTTCGCCGTATATGTTCTGGTCAGTTTCATGCTCCTCTTCTCTCACTTGTTTCTCAATCAGGGACTTAGTGCTGCCGTCCACAGCAAAAACGCCGTAACCTCACTCAAAATTGTTTCCTCTTTTCCAGCACGTACTTCATTTTTTGTTCATAATGATGTGGCGGAGTTGGACATTCAGGGTGTCTACAGGTCCCAAAAGTTCTGGAAGTCCTAAAAAGTTCGGATTTTGCATGACCGGTCCCGAAGTTACGAGTAAGTCCGGAAATTTAACTCTAGGTCACGAAAAATTTAAAAATTCACGGTTTTCGGGAGTCTAAGTGTAGTTCTCACGTGAAAAATGTCCCCGATTGTACACACATATCATGGATTCCTTTAGCCATCAGCAATTTTCATGAGGATCGACTCGATTTCCCATAAAATTAGCAGTAAGTGTAGTCCCTGATCTGGCAATAATACTCCGAGGGTCCTGAGAAAGTTCTGAAAAGGTCCTGAAAAAGTCCTGAAATTGGTTTTCAAAAATCTGTAGACACTCTGATTATTTCAATAATTGAGGATGAATATTTGTTGGGTTTTTTGTAAAACAGCATTTCGTCAGAGAAAAAAATGAGTAAATGCTGAATGGAGGTACGGCGTTTTTACTTTGGACGGCAGAGTATCTCCCAGATCATGGGATACTGGGGAGTAAGTCTCTCGATTCCGAAGTCATGACTGTAAAAAAATTATTCTGTCGGTTGTTTGCTTGAATTGAGAGCCGAGCCTCTTAGGGAGAAGAAGTGGATTTTTTTTGTCTTAAGCAAAAATCCAATTGAATCATGAGTAAGTTTTCTTGTCAATTTTTTGAAGAGTCTAGACTCGAAGTCCAAGAAAATTGTTTTCCAGTGGACCATGATAGCGTGGCCGCTCCCGTATTTCAGGGTTGTCACAATCAAGGACGCCGGGAAAAGTAAGGGAATTTTAAAAAATCAGGGAAACCTTGAGAATGATAGGGAATATTACGAAAGTGTCAGGGAAAAATTGTTAGAAACCTTTATTTTCCTTGCCCTCTAGAATGGGCTTGACGTGTCGAACAACATATTTTTGCCCAAAAACTATTTCTAATTATGATGTCTTTTTAACCATCTGGCAGATCTTTAATCGTCAGAAAACTGTACCAAAATGTGTCAGGAAAATCAGAGAAATTCAGTCTCTAAATTCTGTTGCAATCCTGGTATTCCCACAATTCTTAGTTAACTTATTGTTAGTGTTGATTGAGTTACTAATTTCCGTATATAAGTATTCGGTAAGTAATCGAATATCCTATTCTGTCCGCGGTCGGGGCTGTGAAATCTTTGAAATCACGCCAACAGGGCGGGGGCCGGCCTCCAATTTTTTAGGGAAAATTGAAAATTAAAAAGCGTATACAATTTTTAGGACTCGATGGTATGAAAGGAAGAATTCGCAAGGTATCTGTGGCAATTTTCAGCATAAAACGCCAAATTGTTTTTGGGCTTGTGAAAGATTTGATTTAAAATCATGATTCGTGAAGTATTTTTTGAGAGGGCTCGATTTTGTTGATCATAAAAGTAGTCAAATTAAATACCAAAATCGAGATGAAGCTGTTTTTGTTACTGCATCAAACTAGTCGGGAATAAAATTGGCCTCAAAGAAACGAAGCTAGTCATGCGTGTTCATGTGCATATGAATAACTCGGTATTAAATGCCGGTGCATTAAGGTCACTCTGCAAATGAAAATACTCTTTCACTGACAGGAATATTTCACTGAATTGTGCCTGTATGTTTGATCTGACCTGCGATAAAATTAGTTTTATAAAACGCTAACAGGAGAGTTATGAATACTTTTCATTGAAATTTTCAGATACGTTCGGGTAAATTTCGATAGAATTCTCCGAGAAATTCTTTGAAAAATTCGCGGAAAAATATTTTTAAAAAAATCGCTTTTATTATCGCTTTTAATATATATGCTACACTTCTGCGGTTTTTTCCGTTTCTTCGAACCGCAAATTATTCAAATGTGAACTTAAAAATTCTCTGTAAAATTTTAAATATTTAATCATAATTAGCAGACTTTTTAAGGCTGTTTTTTCAACCACTTGAAGTGCCTAATTGTGGCGGATACTTTTCCGCTCCAGTGGACGTAATAAGGCTGTCGAAGCCAGTGGGGTGATTATTGAAATAAATAGACGAAGCTATGGACGAAAAGGGCAAAGAGAAAATGTAGCGATGCAATGGGTAAAGGAAGTATGTGACTAACTAGAAGAGGAAAAGTTCGATTAGAGCGACAGAGACATGATCGTGGTAATGCCAACAGACTCTACCGTAGCTAAGACTGCAACTCTAATCGCATTTACCAAAAAAATTGTAAAAACCATTTCAGACCAGATACCAGGTTATCTTTGTCCTGCAATACGAGGTCTGTTAGATTAGAAACCGGATTTTGGTCATAACTAGCTTACCGTGCGTCCAAATTAGGTTTTCTTGAACTTTCCTGAAACCTGATAACCTACTAAAGAACGCTACGTTCACTGATGCTGTTTATTATGATCAGTGTTTATAAGTCATTTTGAATACGAGGAAGTCAGGAGCGTTCTGCGATTTTCATCATGCGATCACTGATAGAGCAAAGATTTAACATTCAATTTTGTTTTAAGCTCGGTATACCTTATACCAAAACTTTTGGTATGCTAAGTAAAGTTTACCAAGATCATTGTATGAGTTGTTCTCACTATTTTGAGTGGGTTAAACGATTCAAAACTGGTCAGGGGCTCGTTGAAGATGAGGAGCATGGGAATCGACTATCAACGGCAAGTAACATTTGCCAAGTGGAAGAAGTGCCGGCCAAAGTCTCGAAAATGGTCGTTTCGAGCTTGCTGAACAGTGTAATATTTCTGAAGGCTCTGTACATACAATTTTGAAAGAATATGTAGACATGAATCGAGTTTTAGGTACACTTGCCCCTTGATTGTTATCCGTTGAACAAAAATCCAACCAAATGTTAATTTCCCTATAGCTGCTTGAACGTTCTAACAATGATCCTACATTATTGGATAGGATAATTTTCGGTGATAATACTTGAGTGTACGGCTACGATACGGAGACGAAACTCCAATCATCCTTGTGGATTGAAAACTGTAGTACAAGACAGAAAAAAGAGAGGCAAGTTCGGTCAAACATAAAAATCGCATAACACCCATGAGGTTGCCGTACTTGAAGCCACATACCAACGAAGCTAATTAAGATTTTTCAAATCTGTGAACGTAGCGTTCTCAAGTATATTTACGGAAAGATATCAGGAAAGATCAAGGAAAACCTAATTCGGATTTACAGTAGGCTAGTTATGACCAAAATCCGGTTTATATTCTAATAGACCTCGTATACTTGTCTCAAAAATCAAGGAAATGCTAGAATTTATCAGCCTTTATACGTATGATAAACTCTAGTAGTACTTTAAGTATTTGCCATACTTTTTTTCTTCAGTGTAGACTGATTAACAGTAACCCACAAGTTAAGGATCCTACAGTTAGTTCATCATATTCCTTTCTAACAAAGTTTGTAACAACCTCCTCTTCGTTCATCGCTGTGTCTATCAAATTGAATAATTAGCCCGCTAGGGGTCAAAACTTTTGTCACAAGTTCGCCACCAAAATGCCTTTGAGCTCTCTTGTCCATTCCTCTTTGAGTATCGAGACTGAAAACTCATTGAAGCATATTCTTCCGCACCACGGGAAAGGGCTGTACACTGAAAAAAAAAAAAAAAAGAATCTTGAATATGCCGCCTAGAAGTATTTTTTCTTGACTGAAGAATTTTGCTGCTCAATGTAAACTACTTTTTTGCTTAACCAGGGTGTCTAGCATCAAGAAAAACCGGAAAGTATCAGGAATATTTGCCGATCAGGAAAAAATTAGGAAAATACCTGGAAAATCGGAAAAATCGGACGTTTTATCACGAATTTTTCTTACGCAAATCTCCTCAGCGGAGAAAGTCTTAATGCCTTTTGCCTGTCGTGCTAGGAGTCGAGAAAAATCAGGAAAATATCTGGAATTTTCAAAATGAAAAAATCAGGAATTTTTTATAAAATATCACGAAAAGTCAGGAGAATATCAGGATTTTTCAAAATTAAAAAATACTAGTCACCCTGTTAATCCAAGCCTTGGTTTCCCTGTATCAAGAAAAATTCTGCTTAAATCAAGATTAAAACAATCTTGGCGGCAAATTCATGAATCATCATGCTTGAGGCAAGCACCTGTTTTTTTCAGTGTAAGTGCACTTTGGGATGAGCCTTAATACACACAAGAAGGATAACCATGGCCCATACAGAAATGCGCTTACTAGTGTTTTCCATAACACGGCAGTATCAAGGGAACTAGTCTTGAGCCGATTCAGGATTTTTTCGTCACTCAAGAGCCGCAACCCCAGTTGAAGCGCTCTCGGTCGAGTCGACTCCAGTCGATCAGGATAATCGCGTCACCCCACCTTCATCCCCTTTTACAGCACCCCTCTCCAGATAAAATCCCGCCAAAAGTGGTCAATGTCCCGTGCAGACTTGGACGGCGAAGGATACGGATACAGGGTGATCCACAAGTCCTGCACCCCCAGCACCTCGAACTGTAACTTTAAAAAAAAATCTAAATGGAGACATGACACTTAGTGAGTGCCCTTGGTCAAAAGAGACGATTTTTGGGGTCCCCCTAATACAGGATGATCCAAAAGTCCTTCACCACCAGCACCAGGCATCACTCCTGTAACTTAACTTCTGATGAAAATTGAGATGGAGACTTGAAATTTTGTGAGTGCTCCCAAGTCAAAAGAAAATATTTTAGGGTCCCCCCGAATACAGAGTGATCCTAAAGTCCCGCACCACCAGTGCCAGGCATTATCCCTGTACTGATTGTAAAAATTGAGGTAGAAACGTGTAATTTTGTGAGTGCTCCCAGGTTAAAAGAGAATATTTTAGGGTCTCCCCCCCCTCAAATACAGAGTGATCCTAAAGTCCCGCACCACCAGTACCAGGCATTATCCCT